TCACTATGATGTACACTGACCACCAGGAGGCAGACTCTCCGACTGGTAGGTTAGCTTGCTGCTGAGGTCAGGCTGGTCAGGACTGGGTGAGACAGGCCAAACATGCCCTGGAGCCCTCCCACGGTCCCTCCCTGGCCCCAATTTATTGTGCACTGGTGGGCTCCCTCTGCGTGGCCTACAGGGATCAGGATGAAACCAGCTCTCCGACATCCCCCGAGGGGTCCCGGATTGCAAGAGGGCATAGGCCAAGTCGATGGAACCCAGTGGTGCACCAATCCATACACTGGGCCTCTAGAATGTGTATAAAATCATCGCATTTGCCAGGTTGGCTCAGTGTTTGAGCAATGACCTATGAACCAGGAGGTCATCACATTGATTCCTGATGATGGCTCATGTCTGGGTTGTGGGCTCAATTCCCCTATAGGCAGCCGATCCATGTTTCTCTGTCATTGATGATTCTATCTCTCAATCCCTTTCTTCTCTCTCTAAAAATAAATAAAACATTTAAAAAATAATAAAGAGATAAAGTCACATTTCACACATTAAATATACACAATTATATTTATCAAAAAAGATGTCCATTTTTCAACCTCATATAGTTATTTTAAATGCAAGATTTTATTTTTTGGTATGTATTGTGAAAGTAAATTGATGCTTTCCAGCCAAGTAATAATAGCTGTTCAAACATTACATATTTCAAATATAGTAATAGGCATTGTACATTTAGCCACAGAAAGGCTGCCCAGGGCAACTATGTATCTATTTATCTATCTACTTTCCTTCCTGTCTGTCTATTCACATGTGCACTTGACTGGATTTACAGCAATTTAATATTAGCAGTGGTTACTTGAGTCAGTGAGAAATTTTTCACAGTCTCTTAACAATTTTTAAAAAGGCGTGGACTCGGTGTGTGGGTCCGGCTAATAGTGTTTGAATATGTCACTGCACAAGTGAGAATCCCTATTAGAACCTGGTAGGAATTGCTCTTCTCAGGAAGGGTATGTTTCCTCTGTCAGTGTTACTTTGCCTCCGGAATTCCTGGTTCACATGCAGGACGGAGCTCTAAAGCTTTTAGAGGCCTCTCTCCTAAGGCTTTCTGCAGGCTCTCAGCTCCTGGAGGGTTTCAGTGGGGACTGCCCTTTGCTCCTTCAATTTGTCCTAGTGTGCAATCCTTTCAGCACTGCTGCTGGTAGCACAACATGCTTTCTGTCAGCTAGATCCCCAGAGCAATGGCAGGAACGTAAATCAACACTAGGGTCTGTAGGTCTATAACGAAGGAATAGTGAAGACATCCTTTATGGAGACAGAGAGGAAGAGGGAGAAGACTGTACTCTAAATAGTACAAGAATTTAGATAACTATCAAATTCCTATAATATTCAATATGATATTAAACAATCAAACATTAAACTTTCAGGGAGAGAAGCATGAGGAATGGTGCTGGGATGATAAACTATTAAGTTGTTTACTCTTGTGTTTAAAAATTTTTATAGTATGGTTTACTACATGCCAGGAGCCCTTCTACATGGCTGAGTTCGTGATAAACAAAATAGGTAATGTTCCTGCCCACTTGTATTTTAGTGGCGGAGACAAACAATAAACATGAACAAACTCTGGTGATAAAAGGTAGCGATAAAGTACTGTGAAGAGTAATAATAATATTGGCCACTAGATGGAACCCATTGCTTTCTTCATTTCTTCATTTCTTTACCAATCAACTCCGAGACACTGTGAGCATGACACACTGTAAATTAAATAGGATTTTTTGGGCCAGGTGATAGGCTCTGTCTCTCTTTCTATCTCTCCCTCCCAAATTGGATTTCTTTTTTCCACTAATTGACTGATAAGGGAAATAAGGTTAAGACATACTAAGGAGCCATTTGGGGTAGAGAGATTAGAGAAACTCCTTCTTAAATCAGAAATCCTCTCCTTTCAATTTCTTGGGCATTTACTTTTCTGTGTTATTTAATCTCTGTCTTCACCACTAGACTATGAGCTCCTTAAGAGAAGGCTGGTGAGGGTTGGGGGGCGGCGGGGGCGGGGGGTGGGGGAGGTGGTGGGGGATGGTAAGAGATCAACTGAAGGACTTATATGCATGTATATAAGCATAACCAATGGACACAAGACACTGCAGGGTAGGGGAGGCTGGGGGAATGTCAAGGGGGAGAAAAGAAGGAGACATATGTAATGCTCTTTGTAATACTTTAAGCATTCCTAGCTAATAAAGAGTAATATGCAAATTGACTGTCACTCCAACAGAAGATGGCTGCCCCCATGTGGACACAAGATGGCCAGCAGGGGAGGGCAGTTGGGAAAGATCAGGCCAGCAGGGGGAGGGCATTAGGGCAACCAGGCCAGCAGGAGGGGGGCAGTTGGGGGGGACCAGGCCTGCAGGGGAGGGCAGTTGGGGGCGACCAGGCCTGCAGGGAAAGGGCAGTTGGGGGGAACCAGGCCAGCAGGGGAAGGCAGTTGGGGGGGACCAGGCCTGCAGGGAAAGGGCAGTTGGGGGGGGTCCAGGCCATCAGGGGGAGGGCAGTTAGGGGGGATCAGGCCGGCAGGGGGAGGGCAGTTGGGGGGGACCAAACCAGCAGGGGAGGGAAGATTGGGTGGCCAGGCCTGCAGGGGGAGGGCAGTTGGAGGGGGCTAGGCCAGCAGAGGAGGGAAGTTGGGGGGGACCAGGCCAGCAAGCGGAGGGCAGTTGGGGGGGGGCCAGGCCAGCAGAGGAGGGAAGTTGGGGCAACCAGGCCTGCAGGGGAGGGCTGTTGGGGGGGACCAGGCCTGCAGGGGGGAGGGCAGTTGGGGCCACCAGGCCTGCAGGGGGAAGGCAGTTGGGGCAACCAGGCCTACAGGGGAGGCAGTTGGGGGCGACCAGGCTGGCAGGGGAGGGCAATTGGGGGCAATCGGGCCGACAGGGGAACAGTTAGGCATCAATCAGGCTGGCAGGGGAGTGGTTAGGGGCAATCAGGCAGGCAGGCAGGAGAGCAGTTGGGAGTCTGGATTGTGAGAGGGATGTCCGACTGCCCGTTTAGGGATGTCCGACTGTCCGACTAAACGGGCAGTCAGACATCCCTCTAGGGGTCCCAGATTGGAGAGGGTGCAGGCTGGGCTGAGGGACATACCCTCCCCATCCCCCCCCCACCCCCCGTACCCCGTGCATGAATTTCATGCACCAGGCCTCTAAATACCACATGATCTCACTCATTTGTGGATTATAGAGAACAACATAGACTGACGAAAAGGGACAGACTCAAAGACTGAGAAACAGCAATCAGGCTATCAATCCCCAGAAGGAAAGTAGGGGAGGGCGGGGGTAAGGGGAAGAGATCAACCGAAGGACTTGTATACATGTATATAAGCCATACCAATGGACATGGACAACAGGGGGGATGGGAGCATGAGTGTGTGTGGGGGGGAGGTTGGGGGTTAATGGGGGGGATGAGGACACATTTGTAATACCTTAACTAATAAAAAAAAAAAGAGTATAAGTAGAATATATACAGAACTGTTATAGCTTAATAATAAAAAGACAATTTAAAATGTAAAAAAAAAAAAATAAAAAAATAAATAAATAAAAAAAATACACCACACACACACACACACACACACACACACACACACAAAGAGAGAGAAGGACTACAACTGTATTCCCACTCCTTGGCAGAATGTGATAGGTACTCAACCAATGTTTCTTGAATGAATGATCCCTGTAGACCAAGCAATGGCTGCTTTTCATGAAGCCTCATCTAACACCCTAGGGACTCTGTTTTGTACATAGTTTTGGGGGAAAAAATCTCTGAGTAAGTTTTCCTGCCTTGTGTTTGATGAAATCCTGTCTGTTAAAAAACTCACAGTGAGTGGGAAGGATAGGGTGTGTGTGTGTGTGTGTGTAGTAGGCATATTATGTGTCACTGAGTTTTGAGCCATATATTTTCCTCTTTCTGTTTGGATAAAAGCCTCACACACAATGGATATATATATTTAATTTATCTTTATTGTTGAAAGTATTACAGCTATCCCCTTTTTTTCCCCATTGACCTCCCCCATACCCCCCTGCCCCCCACAGTTGACAAAGTTTCAGTGCTCAGCGAAACTTAACAAATACTAGGCATATGCTTTTGTCAGGGATAGCTCTAATAATAAGGGTCTTGAACCTTCTTCTCTACAATGAGTAAAAGGAACATCACAAAAACAACAAGGGAGTTGGAATCTAAGGAAATTCATACATCATGATCGATCCCATAATCTCTTGGTCTTAGAATGAAGATAGAAGCATAGAAGATCATGTGTGTGTTTAGTTATATTTCTACCTAAGTATTCCATTTTTAAAAAACAGCTATTGTAATTGGTATGTTTTTTTAATTTTTGGTTTCCAATAGTCCATTGGTTTTATATAAAAATACAGTGGAAAGTGGATTTTTGTGTATTGACTTTGAATCTTACAACCTTGTTAAACTCACGTATTTGTCCCAAGAGTTTTTGTTGTCGCTGTTGTTGCTATTTTGTTGTAGATTCCCAGGGATTTTTTCTATGTGGATAATCAAAGTGTGTGAGAATAAAGGCAGTTTTATTTTATTCTTTCTTATCCTTCTTTCCTTTCCCTTCCTCCCTTTCTCCCTTCCTCCCTTCTTGCCATCCCTCCCTCCCTCCCTCCCTCCCTCCCTCCCTCCCTCCCTCCCTCCCTCCTCCCTCCTCCTTCCTTCCTTCCTTCCTTCCTTCCTTCCTTCCTTCCTTCCTTCCTTCCTTCCTTCCCTCCTTCCTTCCTTCTTTCCCTCCCATATTGTAGGAAGCCTTTCATTATACTCTTTAACAGGAGTGGAGAGACTGCACATCCTTGCTTTATTCCCGAGTTAAGGGCAAAGCATTCCATTTATTATCATTAAGTATATTAGGTGAAGGGGTTTTTATAGATTTCTTTTATCAGCTTAAAGAGAGCCACTTTTTCTCAAGTTGTGACTTTTTCCAAATTCTAAAACTGCCTGAGTTATGCCTTGAGTAGACTGACCAGGGAATCTCTTTCCTTTAGGTCTTTAGATTAAGATACATTTCTTCCTGCTTCTTGCCATGTTATTCTTGAGATTCTCTATTTCTCTCTGAAGTTGTCTGCTCTTATCTTGGAATCCTTCCTTTTGTAACATGGCCTGTTCCTAAAAAGGGACAAGTAAGAGTAAATAAAGTACAGCAGTAAGCAAATCTCAACTTCTAGTTAGTTTCCACATTTATGGTGTGTGTTTTTTTGAGTACTTTCTTCTTGAAATTTTCTGTACCATAAATATTCATTACTAGAGGCCTGATGCATGAAATCCAAGCACAGGTGCAGTCCCTAGGCCTGGCTGGCGATCAAAACACGAGCATCTGGCGTGGAAGTGCAGGTCCCAGCTAACCTCTGGGCCCTGGGCGGCACCAGAGCCCCCGGGCCCCCGTATACACCCCTCCTCCTGAGTCACTGGGCCCGCCAAGCTTCCTTAGCGCCTGGGAGCCAGGCATCAGCCCTGCCCCCCGTTACTGCCACTGTTTGCCTTCTTCAGGGTGATTGGCGGGACAATGGGGCCCTGTTCACATTCACCTTGCCCTGCTACTGCCCACTTACCTGGTCCACCATCCTGCTGTGGTCCTGCTCTCATCAGGGCCCATTGGGGCCAGCAGCACCTCCACTGCCGCCTGCTGCCAGCACTGCATCACCGACGCCCGCCATGTTCCGTGCTGCCCCCTGGTGCTCAGCACACATCATAGTGAGCGGTCGAACTCCCAGTCGAGGGGACGATTTGCATATTAGCCTTTTATTATATAGGATACTTTTACCTGGACATCCTAGTTCCATGATTGCTTATCTTGAGTCTCCTTTAGCTAAGAGAGATTTTGGCTTATACCTTCTAATATATTGATAAACTTAAATTATAAGTTCCATTAATTCTATACAACGTATGTGGGCAATCTTTTTTTTTTTTTTAAATATATTTTTATTGATTTCTTACAGAGAGGAAGGGAGAAGGATAGACAGTGAGAAACATTGATGAGAGAGAAACATCGATCAGCTGCCTCCTGGACACTCCCCACTGGGTATGTGCCTGCAACCAAGGTACATGCTCTTGACCGGAATCCAACCTGGGACCCTTGAGTCCGCAGGCTGACGCTCTGTCCACTGAGCCAAACCGGTCAGGGATACGTGGGCAATCTTAATCATGTTTCTTTTCAAATGTTATAGATGCTTATACACACACTAGTAGCCTGGTGCACAAAAATTTGTGCACTCGGGGGTGAGGGTGAGGGGTGGGGCCAGACCCCTCAGCTCGACCTGCACCCTCTGTCATGTTCCGGGACCCCGGCCACTCCTGGCCTAGGCACAGGCCTACAGGCTTGGGCAGCCTGGCTCCCGAGGCCCCAGTTTATCAAGAGAACAAAGTCGGCATTAGTTACAGCCCTCACAGAACCCAGTACACTGCATCTGTGCATACAACTGCCTCGTTCATGTGCCTTCTCTGCCCTACTGAATTACTAATATCTTGAGGACATAGCTCTGTCTTATCCCGCTTCAACTTCAGTGCCTGGCCCAGTGCCAGGGACCTGAGAGGGTTTGCTGAGTGAGCGAATAATGAATGAGTGAATGAATGAGCAAGTAAGTGAATGAGCAAGCAGCTACTGGTGGGGATAGTTCGCATTCTGCTCTGGGCTGGCTGATGCAAACCCCGGGAAGTTCCCGCCCTGCTCCCGGGGGCTCCACTCCCCTCTCCCAGCTGCATAGTTTGTGCAGGGCAAAGGCGGCCCAAGTGTGCATTAGCACCTGCCAGCCGGGGATCCCCCGGGAGGGCCGTTTGTGGGTGTGGCCGGTGGCAGATCAGTGCATTAGCACCCACCAGCCTCGGATCCCCTCCGGATAGACGTTTGTGGGTGTGGCTGGTGGTGGATCAGTGCATTAGCACCGGTCAGCCAGGGATCCCTGCTGGAGGGCCATTTGTGGGCGTGGCCAGTGGCAGATCGGTTCATTAGCAGCGGTCAGCCGGGGATCCCCGCTGGAGGGCCATTTGTGGGCATGGCCAGTGGCGGATCGGCGCATTAGCACCGGTCAGCCGGGATCACCATGGGAGGGCCATTTGTGGGTGTGGCCAGTGGCCGATCACTGCGGTCCCGCTGCCAGCCGTGGATCTGTTCCCATAGGGGCCGCCTGCCGCCCGGGTCGCAAATAGCAGGCCCGGATGGCAGCGGGGCAGGCGGGATGGTGCTGTCCCGCCCTGCCTGCAGTAATCAAATTAGCCACCATCTTTGTTGGCCGTTACCCGCTATCTTAGTTGGCAGTTAATGTGCATATATCGCCCTGATTAGCCAATGGGAAGCGTAGCGAAGTTACAGTTAATTACCATGTTTGTCTATTATTAGATAGGATACACACACTCAGACTTTTATATACATGCACATGACAGAAATAAAACATTCTCAAAATCAAAGGAAGTGTCCGTATCTTAGATTAGGGAATTTGATTTAAGCTTCCACAGCTTGGTGGCAAGAGTAGCAGGATATAAGTAAGGAGACATCAAGGCCCCTAACTGTCCACACAGGATTTCTGCACATAACTCACTACACAAACTAGGCGTAGGGCATAGCAAACAGTCAGGAGTGGCAGACACAGGTGTGAGAGGCAAGGAGTCTTTCTGTTCATAAAGGTTCTTTTTGAACCAAGTCATACCAGGTGTGACAGAAAAACAGTGATTGTAGATTCCTCTATATCAGTGGTTCTCAACCTTGGCTGCACATTAGAATCACCTGGGAATCTTTTTAAAATCTTGATTTCTGGGCCTCATCCTCCGGAAATTCTGTTTCTTTGTTACTAATGTTGTGGCCCCACCCCATAACAAAGAAACAGAATTTCCGGAGGAGGAGGCCCAGAAATCAGGATTTTAAAAAGATTCCCAGGTGATTCTAATGTGCAGCCAAGGTTGAGAACCACTGCTCTAAGTGGTGAAGGTGGTTCAGATATCTTACCAATCTGTGTGACCCTGAAAAAGCTCATCTTTTCTGAACCTGTTTTTTCTCATAAGTTATAGGTACTCAGCAATTCTTGCTTCATATAATATTAAGCAAGAGAAACAGGTAAGATATAGTATTTGCAATATTTAGAAGATAATAGCTACCATTGATTGAAGAACCCTATATAATAAAAGACAAATATGCTAAATTGTCCCCTCAGGAGTGTGACTGCTTGCTTTCATGTGCACTGATCACCAGGGGGCGATGCAGAACAAAGGAAGGCCCCAGCAAGGGAAGTTTCCTGCCATCAGCCAGAAGGAAGGCCCCGATTGGCCTGATCGCCGGCAAGGCCTAGGGACCCTACCCGTGCACAAAATTTTGTGCACCAGGCCTCTACTCTCTCTATATAAAAGCCTAAGCGACTGTTTGACTATTCAACTGGTAGTTATACTGCGCACTGACCACCAGGGGGCAGATGCTCAATGCACAGGCATGAAAACATGGAACAGACTGATGAATCTCTGAGGGAAGGGGGGAGGGCAGAGGGTGGGAAGAGATTAACCAAAGATCTTATATGCATACTAGAGGCCCGGTTCATGGATTTGTGCACTGGTGGGGTGCCTTGGCCTGGCCTGTGAGAATTGCGTCAAAACTGGCCTGGTGCACTGATTCGTGCACTGGTGGGGTTCCTCAGCCTGACCTGTGGGGATCGGACCAAAACAAGCAGTCTGACATCCCCTGAGGGGTCCTGAATTGCGAGATGGCACAGGTATGGCTGAGGGACCCTATAAGTGCACAAATTTGTGCACCGGAATTATAGAGTACTGATAAAGGACTGGATGTGAGATAAAGGATAATAAAAAAATTTTAATAACCAGGCATAGGCAGGCTCCAAGTCAGGCAGACAGACAGGGATTGAAAGGTATAAGTGGGCAAGCAAGGTCCTTCCGGGTTTTGAGTTCTAACAGCCACACAAACAGGTCAGGGAGAGTGTTCAGAAAACTGAAAAAGGGAAACCTCTAGGTGATGCCATTACATACCTGAAGTTTAAGAGACAGAGCCCTCTCTTGCTCTGCCATTAATTGGGCCCTCTCCTGCTCCATCTTCTCAGTCAATTGTTTCACATGTTCCTGATAAATCTTTTCTTCCTCCTCCATCATCTGCTGATTGTTCTTTTGCATTTCCTCCAGCATTTTTGCTGCAGCCTCTGCAGATTCAGCTTTCACACGTTGCACTGCCAGGAGGAAAGGAAGAAGACAAATTCAGTGGGTGACCACCTTGCTTTTCCTTCTTTGTGAGCTTACCTGTCATTGTTGCTGCTGACTGCCTATGCCCTACTGAGACTGACTTTGGCCAGTAATAGGCATCTTTGTTCATCTGGCTTTTGTTTAAGGACCCCAGATTCTCTAAGCCAAATTATTTAAACTTTTAAAAGCTGTTGAAGCTATCTAGTCTCTTGACTTGCTCATCACCTTCAATCAGCTTTTCCCTTTTTGTGAGATTCTGGTCTGTCTGTAGAATTGCATCAATCACAGACTCCTTGGATCTCAGGTATGTCTGAAGAACTTCTTCACTCTAGGACCCAGAGAAAATGGCATTAGTAATAGGAAATCACTGGAAGCACTTATTCCTGTTTGTCCACCATTTTTTCCTGTAGGAATTGTTTGCTTGGCCCTGGTCCTTGTGCTGGTCAAGGGGCCCCTGTCACAGGGTGGGCACATGCTCCAGGTTGGCCAAGCCTGGTACCCTATGAAGCAGAAACTTTTGTAAGTGATTGATATAAATATAGATTGAGAGTCTCTGTTCTCTGATGAGGGCTCTACTTTTGAAGCTGTTGGTGCTGTGGTCCCATATGGGGTGAGGAATGAAGCCATCGTGGAGAGAGCAGATCCAAGGAAAGGAGGTGGAGGGAGACCAGGAGGAAGGGAAGTGTGGGGTTGAGGGGAGAAACAGAGGGACAGATAAATGCTGGTTACCTGTATTCCCTTCCTGGGTTCCTGAAGATACTTTTTCTTCAGCTCGTGTATAGTCTGCATTAAGAGACGATACCCTCCAGGTTTAGAAAAAATCTCCTGCTTTATATCTTCTTCTAAAGAGTGGAAGATATCCTTAAGTAAAGCTGAGCAGCGATCCGATGATGCTTTCATATTCTCTTTACAAAAGTCATCTCGCTTTTTTGCTAGCTGGTCCTTTAATGTGAAAATAGGACGTAGAAAGAGTACAGAGAAAATGTTAGCTTGACCTCGGCATTTTGGAAAGGCTTCTCAAAAACCAGTCTGTGACCCTGTAAAAACTTACAGGCACCTCAGCAGGACCACATCCTTCCTCCTGATCCTGTCTTTCTATTGAAGACCCTTTCTCCTTGGAGGTGAAGTTCATGACAGAGATTGCTGGCTTTATGTTAGCATTTATGCTACCCACCTGCGGGTCACAGTGGGCCATGGCCTTTTGCACTGCAGCCGAGTTCTGTATCTGGGCCGAGGCCAGGACTGCTTTCTCCATGAAGGGCAGGTCCCCACTGCTGATGGTATTGACATAGGTCAGGACTAGGTTCTCTAGTCCTAAAAATACACCTTTAGAAAGAAACTTCTGCTTTTTAAATTGGACCAGCAATTGCACATGGAAGAAATGTGGCTCAATATAAGCTTGCTCAAGATAACTAAGACTACATTTTTCTTTGCTTTTGGCTGTAATATTAAATCTGTCCAGTACCAACAAGCATGTAACGTGATGAGAAGCTGTGATTATTACCTGCATGCATTATCTAAATTATGAGAAGGAGCATTACTTTCTGCATGAAAAGAAAAAAATGTTCAAAACTTTGTGTCAGTCATAATAAAATTGGTTCTTATCTACACTAATAAAAGAGAAAGATGCAAATTGACAGTACCTTTGCAACACCCACCAGCCAATCAGGAATGAGTATGCAAATTAACCCAACCAAAAAATGGTAGGTTAATTTGCATATGCAGGCGACAAGTGGCCAGGGGCGGGGTGGGATGCTTGGGTCATTGCTATGGTGAGGATGCAGGCATTCCGCACCGCCCCAGCCACTCGGGGCCTCTGGGCAGCATGGGAAAGTGGAAAGGCAGCCCTGGGCCAGAATGAAGGCAGAACCGTGGCTCTGGGCCTGAGCAAAGGTGGTGCCAGCAGCCAGGGGAAGAAAAGCCCATTCTTGCATGAATCTTCATGCATTGGGCCTCTAGTTATTATAATAAGAACAAATAGTGGTTTTTATCATTTTACAATCTATTAAGATTTCCTTTTCTTGTGATAAATACTCATTTTATTTTATTTTATTTTTTTACAACTAAAGAACATTTATTTGTTTTTCACTAAGACTTCATCTTAGCACAAAATTAAACTGTCACTACCCCCCACTCCAACTTGAAGAAGGGTTAGTACAGTGAGTGTTATAAAGCAGATATGAAGGATTGGAATCAACATTAACTGACAAAGAGAAACTTGTAAGTCATCGTAACAATGTTTAAGGAAAAAAAGAGAAAAAATGGGGGTGATGGGAGTTCAGATTGAACAAGATCCTCACATATCATCTAACACATTCAATCCTGGCTAGAGTGTACTAAAATGGAAACAGGATTACTATAATACAAAACTTCACTACAGACAGCTGTACACACCTGTGTTCCAAGCCCATGCCCAACCCCCAAATGTTTCCAACACAACTATTTCCCGGCCTGTTGGGCCTGTTGGGCCTGTCGACGAAGGAGCACGTAGATCTTCTTTTTAATCCAATCTTTGTTATAAGGCTGGTATGTCTGGGTATCAGCTCGGTAAACCAGACAGCTGAGGTCCGCCAGATCATCAATAAAATCAAACAACTGGCTGATATCATATGTGTTAGAGGGGCTGTTGGGATTCATTCTCTTCAGATGTTCTTCATACATTTTACAAATGCCTTCCATGCACTCACTCATTCACTGATTCATAATCAGCATAAGTTCTGCCTTCTGGCTCTTGGTAAGCTGTACCAGCAAAATGGTGTGAGACATCACGCCAAGCTTTCGCTGCAGCCGCCCTGTCACCAATTGTTGGGGTCCAACTCCAGCAGGTCCAGGGGTTCTCAAAGGTGTGGATGGAGTTGGCGAAGAAGGAATGACACGGAGACAGCGTTCAGTTGATCAGCAGCCTAGCCAGGTTCTCTAGCCAGGTTCTAGCCAGGATCTCCAGCCAGGTTCTCCCATTTTATTTTTTAACGAGGGGCCTGGTACACAAAATTTGTGCGCTGGGCAGGGGGAGGTGACCCTCAGCCCAGCCTGCCCCCTCTCACATACTGGGAGCCCCCAGGGGATGTCCTAGTGACGGCTTAGGCCCGCTCCCTACTCCTCTTGGGGAGCGGACCTAAGCCGCAGTCTGGCCTCCCTTTGTGGGAGGTGACCGGGCTGATCAGGGGAAGGCAGCAGCCCCATAACCCCGCTGCTGCAGCCACTGCCAGTCACCGCAGCCAGCAAGGTTTTTTCATCAACACAGACTCCAGTCTCTTCACCATGAAAAAATGACAACTTTCTTTAGGCATTTTCAAGGTGTGTCTTTCATAATAATAATTTCTTTATTATTTTTTTTATCATCACCTGAGGATATGTTTCCACTGATTTTTAGAGAATGTGGAAGAGAAAGGGAAAGACAGAGAAACATCAAAGTGAGAGGAACACTTTGATTGGTTCCCTCCTGCATGAGCCCTGACCTGGGCCCTGGCCAGGGAGGAGCCTGCAACCTAGGTACATGCCCTTGGTCAGAATTGAACCCAGACCCTGCCATCGACAGGCCAAGGCATTATTCACTGAGCCAACCCGGCTAGGGCTGGATATGACATTTCTTAGCCCTCCAGCAGCGGACCATAGTTTTTTTCTCCAGGAGTGTGGTGAAAAACCCTAGATCACCTTTTTGGATTCTTATTACTCAAGTTACTAAGAATATTACCAGTGGCATACAGGGAGCTTAGCCAATGAGCGGTCAGAAAAGGTGTTTCCTCTGTAGTTCACACCAATTGCCAGCTTGGCCCCCCCCCCCCCCCCCCCCCAGCCCAGGCCTGACGCCTCAGGCCCAGGCTGCAGGCCTGGGCAGAGGACCCCCCATTTCCCCCCAATCACTGACTCCGCCCTCGCCCAGGCCTGATGCCTCAGCCAGAGGCGTTGACCCCCATCACCCTTCGATCACCAGATCAGCCCCTCGCCCAGGCCTGATGCCTAGGCCAGAGGCATCAGGCCTGGGCAGGGGACCCCCAGACCCCTTTGATTGCCGGCTCTGCCCCCTGCACAGGTCTGGTGCCTCTTTCTCAGGCTTCAGGCCTGAGCAGGGGGCCCCCATCTCTGCCCCATCACTGGCTCCGCCCCCTGCCCAGGCCTGTCGCCTCTGGCTGAGGCATCAGGCCTGGGCAGGGGACCCCCATCTCCCTCCAATCGCCAGATCGGCCCCCTGTCCAGGCCTGATGCCTGGCCCAGGCGTCAGGCCTGAGCAGGGGACCCCCAGGCCCCTCCGATTGCAGGCTCCGCCCCCTGCTTAGGCCTGATGCCTTGGCCAGAGGCGTTGACCTCTATCACCCTCTGATCGCCAGATTGGCCCCTTGCCCAGGCCTGATGCCTCCGCCAGAGGTGTCAGGCCTGGGCAGGGGACCCCCATCTCCCCCTGATCACCAGCTTCTGGGGCTTCTGGGGCTGGCCTGCGGCCGGGATCGGATCTGATCACTGGCGGCAGGCCGGCGGCTTCTGGAGTCGCAGACAGGAGCCTGGATGGCGGCTCTCGTGCTGGTGGTTGTGCTGTCCCACCCTGCCTGCAGTATGCAAATTAGTCGCCATCTTTGTTGGTGGTTAATTTGCATATCACACTGATTAGCCAATGGGAGGCATAGTGAAGGTATGGTCAATTACCATGTTTGTCTATTATTAGGTAGGATAGTACTTTGCTTTCTGAGACCCTAATCCATATAAACGTAAGAAAAAAATTACCGCTAATTTATTTTTAAATAAATGGTCTACATCCTTGAAGGAATTCTTCATGAAGACTTCAATGGCCTCTTTCTCACTGGCCATGTGCAGGTCCAGGAGCTCTTGGAGGGTTTCTGTGGGCAGCTGAACCTTCTCACTCATCTGCCAGTCATAGTGGGCAATGGCCTTTTTCACTGCAGCTGAGTTCTCTATCTGGGCCAAGGCCAGGATGGCATTCTCCATGCAGGGCAGGTCCCTACTGTTGATGGCATTGACATAGGTCAGGACCAGAGTCTCCAGCCCTACAAATAGAGAATAAAAGATAATGTTTATTGTAGGTGGGGTGAGGAAACAGTCCATCCTCTATAAATCTGATGGTATCTCTCAACACTCATTTGGCTCACAGCATCTGTGTCCTCAGCATCACTCAGAAGTTTGCTAGAAATGCAGACTCTCAGCCTCTGCTCCAGATCAACTGAATTAAATCTGCCAAGATCCTTGGGTGATATGGACATATCAAAGGATGAGAACATCTGTTCTAGACACCATATGCCAGAAACCAATTCCAGCATGACAGCAGGGCTGAATCTGGGATTGGCTGATGGCATTTCCCCAAACCTGAATAGGATACATTAAATTGATTGTTTGCTGCCAGGCAGCTCAGGGCACCTTAATCTACATGTTATTTCCTCCTACTGGCCAAACACCGGAACAGCTGTAGGCTAATTCCCCCAAATCTGACAATCCCTCTGTATACTAAACCCTGACCCTTTGAAGTATATATCTCTGCCTCATCTCAGGACAATTTTTGTTAATAAAAAGCATGGGGTCCTGAGAAAGAGATCTTAGTTTCCTTCAAACTAGGCTCCTCTGACCCCCAAATGCCTTTCAAAATTATATTTCGTCTCTTGACTCCTATTTAATCTATGCACAGCCTTCTCCAGATTTCATGAATCCCTTTTTTAAAAAATATATTTTATTGATTTTTTACAGAGAGGAACGGAGAGGGAGAGAAATACAGAGTTAGAAACATCGATGAGAGAGAGACATCGATTCAGCTGCCTCTTGCACGCCCCCTACTGGGGATGTGCCACAACCCAGGTACATGCCCTTGTCCGGAATCGAACCTGGGACCCTTCAGTCTGCAGGCCGACGCTCTATCCGCTGAGCCAAACCGGTTAGGGCATGAATCCTTCTTAATGCTGGGACAAGAACCCTGGCAACCATAGACCTGTGTTTATTGAGGTTTATTGAGTGCATGTGCTTTATCCCTAAACACCATTAGGATAGGAAATGTACCTCTCATTTATGTCTCTATCATCAGTTCTGGTCTGTGGTAAGCATTTATAAAATCAATATTTGTGAAACAATTAAAAAGAAGTCCTCTGCCCTGACCAGGTGGCTCAGTTGGTTGGAGCATTGTCCCATGCACCAAAAAGTTGTGAGTTTGATTCCTGGTCAGGGCACACACCTAGGTTGTGGGTTTGATCCCCAGTTGGGGCACATGCGGGAGGCAACTGATTAATTTTTCTCTCTCACATCGATGTTTCTCTCTCTTTCTAAAATTAATGGAAAAACATATTATGGGGTAAGGATTAAAAAACTCAAAATAAATTTAAAAAGGAGTCCTTAATTTTATTTATTCTAGCAGAACACTGTCCAAGAGATCTCTCCGTGATGATAGTCTTCTGCTATATGTGCTATCCAATATTATAGCCACTATACATGTAATCAGAATTTTTTAATTCATTTAATTTTAATTAATCTGCATTCAATTTTAGATAAATGTAGCTACTACACTTTTCTAGTACCTATTATATGGGATAGTACAGGTCCAGTGTATTAGATCAATTTGAAGCAATAGAGTTTTTTTATTTGTCCTTTTCTATCTTTTCTCACCCACAAAATCTGACTAATAAAATCTATTAGAAATATTGTGTCATCTAGAATATACCACAGTAATCCTATATAATAAAAGGGTAATATGTATCTTCACCAAACCAGGGAAAGACCGGTTGCTATGACATGCACTGACCACCGGAGAGCAGACACTCAACGCAGGAGTTGCCTTCTGGTGGTCAGTGCGCTCCCAAATGGGGAGTGCTGCTCAGTCAGAAGCCAGGCTCACAGCTGACAAGCACAGCAGCGGTGGGGCGGTGGCGGGAGCCTCTCCCTCCTGGACTGCCAGAGGGCACAGGCCGACCTGAGGGAACTCCCTGAGTGCATGAATTTCATGCACCGGGCCTCTAAGAGTAGTAGATTTGCATTTTTCAAAGCTGAAACTAGGTGGATGCTATTCCACCTTCCTTTAGTCTTAACAGTGAGAGTAATGACCGGGAAGAGGACTCACGGGGTCCATTGACTTGGATGCCTCCTGAAAGAGTTTTGACTTTGGAATTGCTAAAGATGTAGGAACAGAAGTCAGTAACTTGTTGCACGAATTCGGGGTCCAGCTCATCATCATGCATTGTCTCAAGTTGGCCTAGTTTCTTCCAATGAGTGGGCCGATCAAAGACAAAACATTTCTTTTTTGGGAAGAACTTTCGGATACAAAGTCGGGGCAGGTTAAATTTTTCATTTTTAAGACTGGTACCTGGAGAAAGATAAAAAAGGGCTTTGCTTAATATAGGGGCTTGGAAACTTTTTCTGTTAACGGTCAAATAGTAAATATATTAGGCTTTGCAGGTCAGGTGGTTTCTTTTCCAAGTATTCAAATTCTGCTATTATAGCACGAAAGCAGCATGGACAATCTACATAGTATTCATCCACTAAAACCTATTTGTAAGATAGCTGGCAGGCTGCATTGGCCATCATTTGCCTGTGGGCCATATTTTGCCAACCCCTACCCTAGTGCATTGTAATGCTTTAATCTATTTTCTTTAAATAAATGCCCATTCTACTCCATATTCTTTGGCTAATTACAGCAATCCAAGCCCTAAGCAGAGAGATAAAATCAATCTGATCACAGTACAGGGAAAAATGAAAGAAAAAGAAACTTGTTCTTAGAACAAGGGAGAAGATAATTCAAAATCAAATCTATGAATTTAGATATTAAACAACCATTAATTTTTAGAACTAGGTAGCTGAGAACTAGAAAACTATACATGTAAAAACACTAAATAGAAAAATAAAAGATGATGGTTTCTAATGGCTTGTGATTCCCAATAATCAGTTCTCAGTCCCCTTTACCTTGCTTGAGTTTGAGTGAATTCTGCAGGTACTCATCTGCTGAGATAGGTTGCCCATTTGCTTCCAATTCTAGGGAAAAATCCCTCAGTGTCCACACAAAATCTGGAAAGAAGCTCACAAAGTCAGCTGAATCCTCAACCTCATTTGCATCAGGTGAAGATTTTGCCCTTATTTTTTCTGTCAGCTCTGTCACATAGCTGAGTAGCAAACTAAGGAAAAATGGTGTAAAAGAACAGTGCCTCTCATGCCATATTAGTCCCACATATTCCAAACCTTTGTTTTGGCTTTGTTTCTAACTCAAGTGTTAATTCTTCCTGCCCTTGAATTATTTTTCATACTTTCTCTTTTTGTGCTTGATTTGCCAGGATTCACATTCAGGGAGCTGGTATTTAGGTACTAGTCTCCCCTCTGATTTTGATGCTGTTCTGGACCACAAAAAGGATACTGCAGTTCATCTATGGCCTGCTGGTTTATGGTCCCCATGCTATTGTACACAAAGGTGCTGCTCAGCAATATTGCCAGGGCAAAGATCCAGGAGTCATTTTGGTTGTCACCCTGGAAATCAGAACACATTTGGGCCAGGATTATGTTTTATTCTCATGGCACTTTCCAGATCAGCAGTAGTAACATATGCTCATTTAGGGGAGTGACTTTTTTTAGATTAATGACTTATAAGAGAAAAACAAATCCAAATGAAAATGGTTGTTAGTAGGACTTGGACTTTGATTAGTCTTCTGATTAGTATTTTTGGTTACACTGATTTTCACTAGGTCCTCTTATGACCATTCGCAGATAATTGCAAAACAAACAGGCCAGATTGGTGGGCACTCTAAAGCCTTAAATGTAGTTTAATTTTCTCTATGTTTTTACAGCAAAATTGACTTATGTAAGAGTAATAATAATTATAGCTATTTTATCTAGTCATTATTAATCACCTAACACTTTCCATTCTTATTAAATAGTCAAAACAATACTATGAGGAAAATATTGATCGTTTGCATTGGTTTTACAGAACAGAAAGCTGAGGGTAAAAGAAGTGAAATATTTGCTAAAGCCACTGTGTTAATAACAGAGTTTAGGAATTCCGAACATTAATCCTTAACTCAAGTTCTCTGCAGGATAGGACTCATGGCTGATTTTGTTTGTGGTACCTTTACGCATCAGTGTTGACTGGCTTAGCTTATAGCCTCTTGTTAATCATTAGAATTCTATCTAATGAGCACGATGCTCTTCTAGGATTCTGCCTTATATTTTCATGATTCCTGATTGCAAAACTTGGTCTCTTAGCACATAAACAGAAATGAAAAAAACACATATGGTTTAGTGCCAGCTCTTATTTGAATAAAAATTAAAATAATAATAATAAATTTTAAAAAGTAAAGAAAAAAATATTAAATAGTATAGACAATACCTAGAAATGAGGGGATTGTCTCCAAATTGAATCTTCAGTACTTACCTTCTCTATATCTCCCAGCCCCTTAGTGTCAAGCAGAACTAGGGTGTAGTTTGGTTTCTTAGGGTGACGTACACACCACATCCGGATGCCTTTGGTGTGAGACTGAACTGTGGAGCCCAGAGAGAAGCCTTCAGAGGAGAGGAGAGAGAGGGAGTGGAGTTTTCATAGCAGACATTTCTTAAAATAGAGATAAATGTGAACATAATCAAGCTAAGGAGAGACTACAACCAGCAGTCTGGTTGGTGTGGCTCAGAGGTTGAGCGTCAACCTAAGAACCAGGGGGTCATGGTTCGACTTTGAGGCAGGGCACATGCCCTGATTATGGGTTCCATCCCCAGTGTGGGATGTGCAGGAGGCAGTTGATCAATGATTCTCTCTCATCACTGATGTTTCTAACTTTCTCTCCCTCTCGCTTCCTCTCTGAAATCAATAAAAATACACTAAAAAGAAAAACCACAATCAGTATTGATTTTACAGAGAAACAGGGAAATTCAAATATCCAATACATAAAAACCTTCAACACCTTTTTATTATAAAAACATTAACAATTAGGACTAGAAGAAAACTAACTCAACATAATAAAAGCTATATATGAAAATCCTTCAGCCAGCATCACATTTTATGATGCAAGATAGAAAGCTTTTCCTTCTACAAAATTAATCAAAATAGTTCAAAGACCTACATGTAAGAGCTAAAACTATAAACTTCATAGAAGAAAACATAGGGGGAAAACATCATAATATTGAATTTGGAATGATTTCTTGGATATGATACCAAAAGCATAAACAAGAAAAGAAAAACAGTTAAGTTGGATTCAAAATTAAAACTTTTGTGACTCAAAGGATACAATCTACAACGTTTCATAGGTATCTTGTGGAATTGGGGAAAATATTTCTTAGTTAAGGGATTGATATCCAGAATATATAAAGAAATCCTGCCATGCAATTTCAGAAAACAAACAACCCAATTAAAAAGTGAACGACGGACTTGAACAGACATTTCCTTAAAGGAAATATACAGGGGAAGTAAGATGGCTGTGGACGGGTCTGCAGGCTGCTAGATAGTGTGAGAGAGAACGAAAGGAGAGTGCATGGACGTGCGGGGCGTGTCAGTACTTGTGAGTGAGGGACAGCTACACTTCAAGGGACTGCTAGGGACTGGTGGACTGGCCCCCCAAGACCGGGGAGCCTCTATAGAGGCTGAAATCTCTCCAGGAGCAGCGGGCCCTGCCGCCGAGGCTGCACCATCTTGAAGGGGAGACAGCTGTGATCGCAGAATGACTGTGATCAGAACCCCAGCCTTACCTTCAACTGGGGAGATCTCGGATGCCTCCTGGGACCTTACAACCACAATGCCCAGAGACCAGTTACCTCAGCTGGGAATCCAGGAACATGGGAACTCCAACCTCCCCAACCACGGATGCCTGGGAGGTCTGCACCGGGGGAGACAAACGCGAATTCGCGGATGGGCCCTGTGCCTTCTCATAGAGAAGAAGGAACAGCTGAATCAAAGAGCACCCACCCGGAACCGGCGAATTGAACACAGCTGGCATTGCCTAAAGAAAGGTGAGCTTTGGGATCCAGGCTAGGATCTAGGAGAAACGGGTGCAGTGGGAACTAGAGCCTCAGAGAAAGACTGCTCCCCACAAAATTCGCGGCTGGTGGGGTCAGTATGCCCTCGAATGTGGAAGGGGGTCCACAGGGCTGCTGGCAGAAGGGGATTCTAGATATTAACCCACAGCTGGACTGGACCCAGAAAGGCAGCCTGCGTGCAGAGCCAGAGTGAAGAGGTCTTTTAGCCCCAAATATTAATACAGAAAAACTGCTACCCAGGGACTGTAGCAGAAATTGACTCTTGTGTGTAAATATAACTAAAGACAGACTGAGAACCAAAGAGAGCAGAAAGATCCCGCCTGCTTGAAAATAGGGTTGTGGCTTAGGACACAGAGGAGCCGTGGATCGCAGGAAACTTCAATACTGTGCTGACTACGTGCAAGGAAAAAGACGTGCCAAGCAGAACAGTGCAGGAAGTGAACGACCTTCACTACTTCACATTTTTATTTTTTATCTTTTACTTAAGAAACTAATTTTTTTCTCTCACTCAATTTTACCTTGTTTTTAATTATATTTTTATTTTTAACTATTAGTATTAATACTATTATTTTACCCTTTTTTAAAAGTTTTATTTTATCTTATTTTTCTTTATTTTATTTATTTTGGGATTAGTATTATACATTCTATTTTGATTTTCCCTTTAGCATTATTTTACTCTATCTCAATTTTTCCTTTATGCCAACACTCTCTTCATCACTTTTCCCCTTTTTCGTCCTGTTTCTCTTACCCTGTTCCTGCTTTAGTTTTTCTCTACCCTTTATTTTCACTCCCTGTTAAAAATTTATCTTACTCATATATCTAATTTCCTCTCCCATGCTCTAAACCCATACACACTTCTCACTTCGCTATCTTCAATATCCAAATATTTTTCTTTTTTGCCTTTTTCTTTCTTTCTGTCTTGTTGTTGTTTGTTTGATTATTGGTTAGTTTTTTTTTGTTTGTTTGTTTCTCTTTTTTCTCTCCTCGCTTGTTCTCTTCTTCTACTAATAGCTTAACTAATTCCAATCACTAACTCAGGCCTACAGGCCTATCTACTCTCTATCCTCCTTTTCCATAGTAAACAAATACATAGATAGAGAGATAGATTAAAGAAGGAGGAAAATTATATATATATATATATATATATATATATATATATATATATATATATATATACACACACACACACACACAGTGGGGCCTTGACTTATAAGTGTCCCTACTAACGAGTTTTTCGAGATACGAACCGTCTCTCTGCCAATTTTTTGCTTTGAGTTGCGAGCTAAAATTCGGGTTATGAGCCAGCTTCAGATACCCCACTGCTAGTTGGCGCAGCGAACATCACAGTGAACGCCACAACATCAGCCCAGCATTACGTGTCTCACTCGTTCACTTTTTGATTTGACATACGAGTAATTTGAGTTACGAGCTCTGTCATGGAATGAATTAAACTCATAAGTCAAGGCCCCACTATATATATATATATATATATATATATATATATATATATATATATATATATAGTTTTATATATATGTATTCTTTTTTTGTATTTAGTTTTCTACTTTTCTTCTTATACACACATTCTCTTTCTTCTTCCTCTATACTGAATTGTGGCTATTTCCCCATTCATTCAATTCCTTGACCTTACCTCCTGGAAATAAGCTCTGCCTCCTCAGATTCATCTGGGTGTTTGTTGTTTGGAGGTGTGTTGTTTGCATTTTTTGAATTAGTTGTTCTTTATAGTTTGCATTCATCTCTGGGTGTTTGTTGTTTGCATTTTTTTGGATTAGTTGTTGTTTTATTGGAGTTTTCTCCCCATATACATATATTTCTCTCTTTTTTTCTCCTCTTTCTTTTCTCTTTTACATTTTTTCCTTTCCTCAATATCATTTTTCACTCTTCTCTAGTCCCTAATTCTCTTTTCTCTGGTGGTCACCTTTATTCAGGGGCATTAGTATTGTGTGTTTGTGTTTGGTGCCTTATGAATTGTGTCTTGTTGTGTTGTATTTTGTGCCTTTATGTCAATGCAGGAGAGAGAGAGCTACATAACCAGACACCTAGAGAGGAGCATCATGGGGAGACAATGAAACAGCCCACATATGAAAGAAAAAGAGGATCACCAGAAAAGGAAGTAATTGAAATGGAAGCAAGAAATATGACAGAAAAAGAATTCAGAGCAATAGTCATAAGGTCGCTGAAAAGGATAGAAGACAAATTCAACAATATGTGTAAGAACCAAGAGGAAATGAAGAAGAACCAAGAAGAAATGAAAAATGACATCACTGCAATAAAGAACCTAATAGAAGGCATCATCAGTAGACTAGAAGAAGTGAAGATGCTGCATCAGTGAGCTAGAAGACAAGGTAGGAAAAAATACCCAAGCAGAGAAGCATCTAGAAAAAAAATTTAAAAAACAGAGGGAGAGCCTAAGGGAATTTTGGTACAACATGAAACAAAACAACATCTGCATAATAGGGGAACCAGAAGGAGAAAAAAACTGAGCAAGGAATAGAAAACCTGTTTGAAGAAATGACAGAAAACTTCCCTGATATCGGGAAGAAAAAACTCACACAAGTCCAAGAAGCTCACAGAGTCCCAAACAAGATGAACCCCAAAAGATCGGCACCAAGACACATTATAATTAAATTGGCAAACATCAAGGACAAAGTTAGAATCTTAAAGGCTGCCAGAGAGAGACAGAAAATTACCTGCAAAGGATCTCCCATCAGACTATCAACTGATTTCTCACCAAAAACACATCAGGCCAGAAGGGAATGGAATGAAATATACAAAGTCATGCAAAGCCAGGGTCTGAATCCAAGAATACTATACACAGCAAGGCTATCAATCAAAATTGAGGGTGAAATCAGGAGCTTCACAGACAAAAAAGGATTAAGGGAGTTTATTATCATCAAACCAGCAATGCAATAAATGCTAAAGGGTCTGCTATAAAAAGAAGAAATAGGAAGGGAAGAAGGAACACAAGCTTACAGAATAAAAATGGTGACAAACAAGAACCTATCAATAATAGTTTTAAAAATTAAATGCCCCAATCAAAATACATAGAGTAGCTGAGTGGATAAGAAAACATGACCTATATATCTGCTGTCTACAGGAAACCCATCTCAAAATAAAGAACTCAAACAGACTGATGGTGAAGGGATGGAAAAATATCATTCAGGCAAATGAAAATAAGAAAAAAAGATGGCATAGCTATACTTATATCTGACAAATTAGACCTCAAAGTGAAGGCCATAGCAAGAGATAAGGAAGGCCACTTCATAATACTAAAGGGAGCAATTCAACAAGAAAATATAACTCTTGTAAACATATGCACCCAATACAGGAGCACCCAAATACATAAAAAAGTTCATGGAGGATATCAAGGGAGAGATTGACAACAATACAGTTATAGAAGGGGACTTTAATACCCTACTAACACCACTGGACAAATCCTATAAACAAAAAAAATCAGCAAAGAAACAGCAATCCTAAATGACTCAGTATGTCAGATGGAATTAATTGATATCTTC